GGGTTCCCAACCATGAGTTTCAAACAACAATATCCCCTCCTAGGCTTTTCTCCATGGCCCAATTTCCTACCTCACCCTTTCAGCAACTGTTCCCCAAGCTCTTTTCAAAGCCCTCTGTATTAGAGAAACTGAAAGCTCCCACCAGCCCTTGTTTCTCTGACTGAAGGAACCAACAACTTGCCCCAATCCAGGCACAAGCACTTCCCTCCTGAGCACTATCTGGATGAAGGAAAGAATGATTATAGACAGCTAGTCCCCTTCCCAGCATGCCTTTCCAGCTTGCTCCTATGCTGGAACAAGGATAATGAGGGTGTTAACCCAGGTGTTTTAGCCTGATTCCAAGTGTGGTCAAAACCTTTTGTCAGTGAAATGTCATTTCCTCTTGGGTCTGGTGTTCCTCATTTCCTGGCTGAGTGCATAGTGTCCTTGTGTGCTTGCAAATCCTCTTTTCCCGAGAAATCATGAATGACTGGTGCCTCCTGTAACTGTGGGGGGCACCATGGTGGTGATTGGGGACTGCCTGCAGCCGCCTCCTGCCCACGGTGTCAGCGGTGGTGAGTGGCAAGTGTGGACTGCCGGATATGCTACCGGCCTCATCGGTGATGAGGGGGTGGCAGATGCAAGTGGTGACCGTCTGCAGAAGCCAGTGGTGACTTTGGCAGCAGCCAATCTTGGGGGGGCACATGCCCCCCGGTGACCCCCCATGCATTGCCTATGACAGAAATGGCTGCATTTTGAGACTCTGCAAAGTGTTTCCTGAACATTTTGGTTGTGCAAAGCCGGCAGAGAGTGCTGGGATCCTTGGCCAGCAGGCACTGCAGCTATGTGAGAAAGTGTGTGTTCCCTTCTGCTGCTGCCCGCCCTCCCACCATGAAGTTTTCTCTGCAGGAAGAGACCCCCCCTGCTGCTAGAGGAGCAGGCTGACTGATCTCATCTCCAACCCCTTGATCAAAGACACCGCCTTTGGAAAGTTTCTGGCTTCAGAGCTCTCTGCTGATCTAGAATGCCAATTAGGCTGGCCCCGAGCCTGGAACATCAAAGAAAGTTGGCATGGGGCAAGGTGGCCCTGGGGACTTAGCAATTAGAAATACCAGCCTCAGCAGGGCCCCTCCAATCTCTCTGCCCTTCTCCTCCTCCCAGTTGCCCTCTCTGCCCTCTCAGTTCACCCCCTCACCCCTCTCCACTGTTCCTGGCTCTCTGAGCTAGACTCTCCCATCCTCTATTCTCTTTGTTGCTTTGTCCATGAACTACATCAATGATTTATTTCTCCCTCTCTCCTTCCCCTGTATCCATTCTCCTCCTCCTCTTTCTGCATCTTGCATCTTTCTTCCTCCTGCCTCCCTATTGAATTGCAGTAATGCTCTGGCTTTCTCCTGAAATACTCGCACCTGCCCTCTCCCCATAGTTCTGTGGCACATGTGGGGTCTGTTTCTTCATATACACTCCTTGGTTGCCTGCAAGCCCACCAGGGAGATCTCTGCTGTGTGCAGTGAGTATGCCTGGAACACAGCACACAGGCAAAAGCACAAACCAGGCAGAGAAACCCAGCAGCATTTATTCATATCGCACAAGGGAGAAATCCCAGCCTCACTTCCTGAGCCATAGCCTTGTGCCCCAAGCCCTGGAGATCACATCTGACCCTCCACAGGCACAGCACTGTGGGATGCCCAGCCCCTCACATGTCAGCTGGGACAGAAACTGCCTTTTAACTGGGAGTGGAGTCCGGAGCATAAGTGTATAGCTGTCATGATGATGAGATTGTGCCACTTTGACTGCATGGGGGAGGGAGCAGCAGCCAGAACAATGGTGACTCTGTGGAGGAGAGGGACCTTGGGCTGAGGGTACAGAGATACTGGGGCAGAGATTATCAAACTAGGAGTACCATGTTTTGAGCCTGGTTTTCCCAATGGTTCCATCCCACCCACCAACCCCGTTCCCATGCTCTCCTTCCAGGCACTTGCAAACCCCATCATGCAAAAGAAGTCTGATGACAGCATTGAGGAAACAAGATTAAAGTAACCACACTTGGATATGGCAGGCTCATCTGCATGGTTGGATTTGCCTTCTCCTTGGGGTGCATGTCAGGACCAACTTGTGCCTTGATTCTTATAGACTTGCCTCTCTCTCTCACTGGCTGCTGGGTTCTGCCAGCTGGTCTGCCATCCCTTCTATTTTAGTGTCATCCACAACTTGGATCAGGGCTGTAGTCAGACCAGGGAAGCCTCTGACAAGGCCATTAGGCAGCACACAAAGGCAGGGTGGCTTGGAGAAGGTCACCTGGACAGCACTAAAACTAGCCAATATCATCGCTAGAAGATGCTTCACCTGTGGGACAGAAGCAGTCAGGAACCCCTTCGGCCTCTGCCTTGACAGGGGGCAGAAAAGAGATGGAGCCTCCCTACAAAGATTCTTCTAGTTCTTTGTGGAGCCGTTACTTCATTGGGCGGGGAGTGATCAACCTTCTCTCGTGGGACACCACCAACACTGACCCAGCCATGCTGGCACTGAGTACTAGGAACTGCCGAGCCAAGGAGATACTACTGGACGCAGTTCAGAGAAGGGCCGGGGGAGTGATTTACGAGAGGAGATAAATGACACTGAGCTTGGTTAAACGTTGATCGAAGGAATAGAAATACAGTGGTTCCAGAGACATTTTAATAGTGCAAACAAGCGGGGAGAGGGATTATTTAGGGTGGAAAAAGGTGGGGCAGCTGGAAGCTCCATGGTTTGGGACATTTACTGCTGAGCTGTATAAAGCACTAGAATGTGCCCTCTGGGTGACCAGGGCGGAGGGAAGAGACTTGATGATCTTAATAGATTTTTCCATTTCAAGTTCCCATTATTCTATCCACAAGCAGGGGGGAGGAGAGATGGAAATGTAATAAAATCAAGCTTTGCATTTTTGATGTGCTGTCTAAGAAATCATTTTAATAACAGGGTCTGTGATAAAATTAATCTAAACAGCTCTTGGTGTGAGTTGTGGGTTTCCTTGCAGTTGGGGTTTTGGAGTGGAGAGGCAAACAAGGCCCTATCTGGTAAAGAGCAGAGAATCTGTGGGAGGAAGATTTAACATCAGAGCATGAGCTAAACTTCCTTTGAAACACTGGGAAAGACAGACCCCCAGACAGAAACCAGAATTCCTGGCAGGGATGGTAGGGACACACTGCTTCAGTTCTGCCAGTGAAGGAAGCTTTGAATTGCTTTATTTTCTCTCTCTGTCTCTCTAGGTCTGTCTACACATGATGTTAATGCTATAAAGGCTTACTGCACAGTAAAATATTGTGCAGTAAGCCTTCCTTGGGAGCATGTCTACTTGTGCTCCCTTTTGGGAGCAAATGTGCTCACAACAGGAGCAGCCTGGTACAGGATGGCTCCTACCCTGCTCCCCCCTCCCCTCCCATAAGCCAGAGGGAGCTCCAGGCTCCCCCAGGATGCTAGCCTGGGGGCTAGAAGGCAGGGAGGTGCAATGCACACAGGGTGAGAAGAGTTCTGCTGGCTGCAGCAGTAGCTGTCTCCTGGCCCTGTGCACCTCTGGAAGGGTCCTGATGTTCAGGGGGCCAGGGAACAGCTGCCGCTGCAGAGCTCTCCCGGCTCCATGCACATGGGGACAAGCCTTCTGCCCACTGGGGCTTCCTCCCACAGCCAGGGGCTGGCCAGGAGCTGTCCTGCTTCTGGGGCAGCTCCCAACTAGCCCCTGGCTGCTCAAGGATTTCCCTGCCTAGCTGGGGCTGGCTGGGAGCTGCCCCAGAAGTGGGACAGCTCCTGGCTAGCCCCCAGCTGGGCAGGGAAGCAGAGAGCTCCTCATTCCTGTTGGTGCTCAGCTCCAGCTCCTGTGGGGAGCTGGGTAGCACTGGGGCAGGGGTGGGGCAGAGAGCTACCCAGTCCTGGTGCTTCTTGGCTCCTGGCGGGAGCTGGGAGATGAGCAACGCCAGGACTGGGGGAGTTACCCGTTCCCTGTAGCCCCCTGGTGTTGGGGCTGACCAGGAGCAAATTTGTCAATCTTAAACAAGATCAGCATCTTCACATGTGCTACTGTGCAGTTAGTTTACTAGTTGGTATCTACTGCACAGTTAGTTTACTACTAAACTACATGTAGACAGTGATGCTTTACTGCACAGTAGACTAATCTACTGCGCAGTAAAGTGTCTTGTGTAGGCATGCCCTCTGTGTCTCTCTCTCTCTCATGCGCGCGCACACACACACACACACACACGTATCCCATCCGCCTCCCTATCCCAAACAAAAGCACTAACCTTCTTTGCACATACAACCACTAGCCCCACTCATACTAGTGCTCTGATGTATGCACAAGAGGCTATATTTTCTAGTAGCATGTGCTAATTTTGATCACCTCAGTTTGGGGATTCCTAAGGCACCAGGGTCACACTCGACATGAGTGGGAAAGTTTGAAAATGTAGACCTAAATGTGTACAGCAAGAATAACACCTAGGTACCTGTGAGTACTGAAAACATGCACATGAGGATTATAGAGGGGTTGTTGAGGATCCAGTTAATCTGAGCTGGGAAACTCAGATCCATTGAGGTCCAGTATGCATGCAGGGATTTGCACTATATCATATCATATATCATATCTCAAATATATACTAGAGTGTCTTACATGGTGGCAAACTTCTTGCTTTCTGTTCTCCCTGCCTCAAATGGTCAATGCAGTATCCATGGGTAGCACCAGTCATCCAGGTGGGCCTTGTTCTATCATATCCTTTATTATTCTATCTGTAGGCACTGATGCTTTGAGTTTTCATTGGCAGATTCCACTTCTCCCACAGAAATGGTGTGGGTAGACAGATAGGAGTGCAACATTCATAAGGGAGCCACAACAGACCTTGGTAAGATTGACAGACACTCTTGGCAGTTTGGCTGTATTCAGGATCACAGAGATGAGTTCAGTTCCCACTGACATATGTCATCTCATCTTTTCAAGACCAAAGTGGGGTCTTGGACCAGACATTCACTGGACAAAGAGCTCTCTTTCATTCATATCATCTGCAGTGGACAGTCAGAAGATCCTGAGTCCCCTCTGGCGGAGTTGTGGGCAACGGGTTGCTAGTTGTTGTAGAGCTTTTTTCATCCAGCAGTCTTCTCTGCACAGTGTTTGGTAAATGATGCGTCCAGGCCTCAGGGAGTTGGGTGCCTTCAGCATCTCTCTGCAGCAGGCCTTGGCAGTATCTAGCATTCTCCTCCTGGATCTGGGTGACCTCTGTGTTCCTTCCAGAGAAACCTGCAACATGGTTGGGTAAACCACTGGCCACACTGGCCACATGGACTTTGTTGCTGGCTCTCTTCTTCTTCCTGTTCTTCTTCTGAAAGAGAAGGCAGGTGAAGACTTGCTTGAACCTCTTTCGGAAATGCTTGGAGATGAGAGCATAGACGATGGGGTTGAGGCAGGAGTTGGCATATGACAGGCAGTGGGAGGCCAGGCGGCAGGCATAGGTAGCTCGGTTGAAGGGGAAGTGGCCAAACCAAAAGCACAGGATGACTAGATGGTGAGGCATCCAGCAGAGGCAGAAGAGGATGGCCACAGCCACAATCATCTTTGTGACTTTGCGCTTGGCTTTACGAGACTCTGAGATCCTCTCAATGGGATCTACAGAGGTCCACAGGAACTTGATAGTCCTGGCATAGGCCAGGCTCACAACCACCACAGGCAGGAGGTACCCAAACACAAAGGTGAGGATGTCCAAGATCTTACGGCGCTGGTCCTCCCAGATGGGGACACAGAGAGGCATGCCCTGGTAATGGACTATCTGGTAGTAGCTGAGGTAGGGCCCCGCAAAAAATACTGATAGGGTCCAGATCACCACAATGGCAACTCCTGCATTCCTGGAGGTGCGAAGGTCCCGGGATTTCAGTGGGTAGCGGATGGCTAAGTACCTGTGGGGCAGGGGTGACATTTACATGAAACTGAAGAGAAAGCAAATGAGCAAGCTGCTACTTCCATGCTGTTCTGTGCATCCCCCTTCTGAGAATGCCAACTCCATCAGGGCCTCCTGCTGTCTCCCCTCCTCTGCCCTAGAAAAGGAGGATTACGACTAATTTACCCAATACTTAGGACCACCTAAACCATCTGATCATCCTTCCTTCCTAAGCACTCTTCATCCCTGTACTTCCATCCCCCATTGGACACCTGGATCTTCCTCTATCCAGCCCCTGGAGGGTTTCTTGTTTCCTGACTGTTGCCCTGTGACATCAGGCCCTGACTGAGTATTGCATGCCCCTTGAAGAGCACAAAATCCAATCTCAGATCATTTCTGTTTGGAAGGACAAACCACCCTGTCCCCAGTAGGAAAAGGCTTGGGTTACCAGACAGAGGGAAAGCTTGTTGGGATGTATGTATATGGGGTGGAGGTGAGACAAGGAATAGCAGAGAATGGAGGAGGAAAGAAAAGAAAAATGGAGGGGGGGGAAGATAAAGACAGATATCCATTTGGAACTAGGGAAGGGAGGGGATTTCTGCCACTTGGCAGAGAAGTGAATGAGTGGAGGGAGATGGAGGCCTGTGGAACTGATCATGGTGGATTTGCTGAGGTAGGTGTGGAGGGTAAGGGAAGATGTATGGTGCTGCACAGTCCCTGTCATTAGATCAGGAAAGGACAGGAATGATAGATAGACCCAGTGGATGAACACAAGGTGGGTGTCCTAGGTGGCTTGTGTTAAGAAAGTCCCTCAAATTCAATGAAGAAGCTTCCAGGCAGGGTGAGTGGGGACACAGTGAGGACACTTGCCTGTCGACAGAGACAGCAGCTAAGGTGAAGCTGCTAGCATACATGGTGAAGTAGATGAGGAAGTGCACCGCTTTGCAGGCAAAAGGACCAAAGAGCCACCCGTCCAGCGTGTAGATGGTGGCTTGGAAGGGGACGCAGCAGATGATGAAACACAGGTCTGCCATGGCCAAGTTGAGGATGAAGAGATTGGTGGTGTTGTACTTCACCTGGCCATTGCGCAGCAGTACAGCTAGCACTAGCCCATTCCCCACAGTGCCCAGGATGAAGATGAAGGAAAAGACCACAGGCACGATGATGCCTGCAGCACGCACCTCCAGGCTGTCAGAGGAGGAGGTGTTCCAGCTGCCAGGCATCTCCTCGTCAGAGAGCATGAGCCTGGCAAGACATTGAAAAGAGACAAATGGCAGGTTCCCTGTATCCATGGTACATCTCAGGCATGCCCATCAAAGGTACGAGATACAAGAACTCCTCTCAAAGAAAGCCAGTGGGCCTAGGGTCAGCTTGGTTCCTACTGGGGGGTGCCTCTTTTAATGCCTCACTGAGTAGGGTACTGTCTATAGGCCTCTGGGTGTGAGAGACCCCAGTGTGAGTCTTACCTATGTTACACTATGGGCAGTGGTGACTTTAGACCTATGCAGCTGCAAAATCCCTTCTGTTCCAAGAGTCCAACATCCTACTTCCATTGAGCCATCCTCCAGAGCCCTGTTTCTGATTCCCTCTGCATGGTCCTGTTTGACTCCAGTGACCATGGCCTATGGCAGGGTTGAATTTCATAGCAGTTTTTCTACTCCCCACTTGGAAAGCTGTGCTTTGGCTCCATCTCCTGGCTCCTGCTCCATATAAAGGAGTATCCTGAGAAGCAAGGGATTTACCACTGCCTGACAGAAGGAGGAGGGACATTTGGGGGTATTGTAGATACTGGGTGGTGGTGAGACCTGGATCAGAAGTGGAGAGGAAGCTGGGTGAGGTGCTCTTCTACATGGTTTCACATTGATACTACAACAGCTGGGATCAGCACAATGACACCCTAAGGGAGGTGCCTGAGGTGGAGTGGTATTTGGGCATCTAGACTTTGGGTCGGGGGGAGACCACAAAAGATTGGACGCTATCCCACTGGAGCCCAGCAATGGGTGCTAAGCTGATATACCAAAAATGAGAGGTCACATAAGGTCTCTGACTGATGCCCTTCCCTCTCCCTGGTCCAATTTTCCCTTGGATATCAGTAATGACAGCATCCAGAGGTGCAGAACTCCTCCATCCACTGTGACGTAGTTGGCAGGAGAGGTGCTGGGATCAGCCAGTCAGGATTTGCTTGGCTCTTGGTCCCTGGCAGCCCCTGAATGTGCAGAGTCCCTCTTTCCCCACCAGTTAAAGCTGCAGGGTGTCAGTACCGGCTCTGGTGCCAGCCCCCAGAGGGAGCCTCTGCCAGGCACCACTTGACCCTCTTTGTTTCACTGCATTCCCAAAGCCATTAACCCTCTTGGGATTTCTCATTTGGGTGAGTTTTAATCTCTGCTTTTGCTTGCCTGAGCACAGTGGAGACTGGAGGGAAGGTTGTGGTGGGGGGAGAGGAGTCCAACTCCTAATCAAGGCCAATGGCTGGGAGATCTGTTGGCCTAGGGGCTATACTACCCCAGAGGGGAAGGCTTTTACACTGATAATCTAGTACAGCGTTTCTCAGCCTGTGGGTCACGGCCCAGAAGTGGGTCCCAAGAATATATGAAATGGTCGTGAACAAACTTTAAAAATGGATTCTCCATTAAAGGAAAAAAAGTGGGAAGCCGTGGCTGTTCCCTTGCAGGCTGGCAAAGTTCCAGCCTGGGGGGTGCTGCTTGGGCCCCCCCGGCCACACACCCATGCCTTGCTCCACACACTAGAGCCTGGGGCAGCAGGTCAGGAGTGAGGGGCACTGGGCCGGGACTGGCCATCGATGTTTACAAATGGGTCCTGGTACAAAAAAGACTGAGAACCACTGATCTAGTATACATGGCTACCAACGTCAAAAGTAACACCCGGCAGTCCTGGCTCCCTCCGCCCTGTCCCACCCTGAGACAGTCCTCCCCATTTCCTCAGCCCCAAACCCTAGCTATTTTTTTCCAGGCAGAAGCCACGTCCTTGAGGTCATTCTGTCCCATGCCAGGGAGCGGCTGCCTCTGGCTGGGTTTGAAGTAATAATCACATGACCCCATAGAGATGAACCAGAGAAAAAGAGCCCAGTTCTTGTGCCCATGGGGAAGGCAGTGGGAATGCTTTTCGTGCCTTGGGTTCTACCTCGTGTGAGTCACTTCATTGCTCTGTGCCTCTGTTTCCCTTCCCTCCCCTCTCCCCTCTTCTAGTTCACTTGTGAGATCTCTGGGGCAAGGCCTGCCTTTCACTACGTGTATACATGAAGTGCCCAGACCCCTGAGCAGTACAGGAATGCAAAGCATTAACCATTAAGAAGCTTAATTAAGCTGCACGAGCAGTGAGTATGCTGTAGTATTCTGATGGCTTCCAGAGCCTCACCTAGACCCCTGTCTCAAACAGGACATTGAGTGACAGAGCACTTAGCCACTGATGCATGGGCATCATCTCTTGTAACAGCAGTTCTCATTATTATTATATCCTTGGAGCAAAGTGCCAGTGAAATAATCCTGAGAGAAGGATGCTGTTACTTAGCAACAGCTGAGACCCGATTAACTTCCTTACGGGTATCACAAGCCCCTCAGTCCCAAGTCCTCTCCTGACCTTACCTTGAAGGGATCATGCCTTTCGTCCTCCTTCCCAGAATCCTCATTGGGACATGCCAGGAGACTGTCTCTGCGCTGCTGGCTCTGATGTCCCTCTTGTCCCAGAGTGAGAGGGGGCTGTTGCTGCACCTCTTACCCACAGGGTCCCCTCTGCCCCATGTGGGATGGGCCTAGCTCTCCTTCCTAACACCCCCAGAGGCCATCTCTGCACTGCTGACTCTGGATGCCCCCTGTCCCACACCAAGGGGATGTCCGTGGAGGTCTCACCCACCGAGTCTCCTTTGCATGACAGTGAGAGAGGGCTGGCTGTCTCTCCTGGGCAGGGGAAAGGGAGGCTTCTGCCCTTCTCCAGCCACTGCCTCCCCACCCTGCCAGTAGAGCCTGGCCCTCCCCTCCCTTCAGAAAGGCTGGACTCACCTTAGCGAGGAAGATTGCTCAGGGCTGTGCGCCTCACTCCAGAGAAACCCTCAGCCCAACCTGGGCAGCACCAGCGAGGAGACAAGAGCATGGAAGAAATCTCAGACTGCTGCTGTGCTGTGCCCCTCTCCCTCCCTGCCTGTCACTCAGTCAGGGATGCAGAAAACTCTGAGAGTTTGAAGGAGCAGTGTTTCTCCCGCTGCCTCTCTGGCTCTTGCCTCTTCTCAGCACATTGCTCTACCCTGGTCTCTGCTTTCCTTTCTTCTCTCTCTCTCCGCTCTTGCTTTCTGAGCCCATTGATCTTTTTTTTTTTTTTCCTTGAGGTTGGATTTGGAGTTAACCCCTTTCTACCCAGTCTCTCTCCTTGGGTCCATCAGCTCCCCTTCCTTGTAGAAGATGCCTGACAGGATGGGGAGTGGGAGCTGCAGAGAGGAATGGCTTTGATAGCTTGGTAAAAGCACAAGGAAGGAATGGGACACAAATCCTATAGACCCTGCTGAGCTCCATGAAGACCTGTTTCCAACATAGCACTGATAGGAAATACAAGTGCACCAGCAACCCTAATCAGCCTTCTGACCCATTCCCACTCGTGACCACTGTGAAGCAGAGACTGAGCTCCCCAGACCACAGAGTTGTAAGCTGTTTTCATTCCTGCCATGTGTAGAAGCCCAGGTCACAGACCAGCTTTCTGTCCCTCACATGATGGCAGCTGACACTTGGGAAAGATGGAGATGCAGAAGATTTTCAACTAGAGGAGGTGTTCCCCACCCCTGGCTGTTCAGCTTTGCTGTCCCCAGAAGAAGGAGCTGTGGCACCATGATAGGGGGATCCTGGGAGGCAGGGCCTCCTCCATGTAGGGGATCACACTGCCTGGGGACAACCAGACACACAGGCTGGGCTCTAGAGTTGGTCACTGGGTGACCATGAGGTTGGAAGAGCCAAAGGGGGCCGCAACTGTGCCTTCTCCAGCAGGAGTTGCTGTGCCCTTTGGGAGGGGAGATGTATGGGGCTTGAGAGGGTGGTGGGGTGGGTGTGAAAACACAGGCCGGCGTGCCATGAACAATATGATCCCAGGCACACCACAGGTCTATGCAGGTAGGGAGGGCAATGGCTGTGTAGAGGCCAGTTAAATGCATATAGTTAAACTCTACTGCAGCAAGAGAGAGAGATAAAGGGACCCACAGGCTGGCTCCTTTGTCTCTGTGAACCCAGTACTCATGTTGCCATGGGAATGGGATTGCTTGCAGGCTGGTGGCCTTGTCAAGGAACAGCTCAGGTGAGGTGTACCTGGCGGCTGGCTCTCCGGCAGGGCTTCAGAGGAAAGGGAACCCATGTCTCTTTCAGGCACGGCTTCTCCCACCCCAGAGCCTGAAACACTGGGCTGGGAGACTGAAGTTTGGAGAAGGAGAAAAAGCACATGCAAGTATCTCCCCCACCTCCACTCACCACCCCTGTCCCTTCCCCACAGGCTCCAATCTGGGCTGTGTTGCCGAGCTGATGCATCCCATAAAGATTCAGAAGGGAAGGAGCTACCCCAGATGGCAGGATCAGTGCTGCATGGAAGCAACAGCCAGCTATTCAAACACATGACACGTGGCTCCTGGCTTTGAAGTCTCTCCCTCACATACCCCTCACTGCTTTCTGTTCTGCCAGCTCCAAGAGCAATGGTACCCCGACCCCCAGCAACAGTGGCTACATCCTGCATCATGCCTAACACTGGACATTACACTCCAGTAGCAGCCCCTGCATCTCCTGTTGGATCTAGCAATACCTCCCTTCCTTGCCTAATGGCAACCACTGCTCCCTACAATCTCCACAGCCCCTGCTGTCCTTTGTGCACCAAATGGGAATCATTGTACCTCAGTGTTCATTACTTCCCCAATGGCACCTTCCCTTGCAGGGCCTACCAGCACCCACAACACCAAGAAACCCCAGCAGCACCAGCTACACCTCTACAGCCAGCAAAAAATATCTTTACTCCTGACACCCAGCAAACACTGCCCTTGCACCCCCAGCTACAATTGCTGCAGTCAGCAGCTCCTGCTGCCCACACAATACTGAGCTATGCCCCCCCACCCCAGGGGATGGGGGTTTCCCTCTGAATAGTTGGTCGATGGTTGTGTCTCTGTGGGCTGCAGCAGCATCTAGTATCAGCCTGTAACTAGGGTAAAGGGGAAGGATTTCTCTCGGCCAAAGGGATCCAGTGATAACCAGAGGGAGGGGACTACAAATGTGAGCCTGCAGTACAAGACACTCAAGAGGAGACCTGCGGAGCTGCGCCTATCATGGAGGTCAGAGCATGGCTCCTCTGCCTCCTGCTGCCAGGGACAGTGGCCCAAGGGTCTCTGTCCTCTGGAGCATCCTTCCTTTCCCAGGAGGGAGAGCTCTTCCTTAGCGAGAACCCCCTGCCACCAGAGAAGACCAGTGAGACATCCTCCCACAACCCTGATGTCTACCTCATCCGAAGCAAGCCGTCTGCCCATGTGAGGCCATATAGCCTGTCCCTCGCCCCTGACGACTACCACTACACCCCCAAGCCCAAGCATCTCAGGGCCCCCCGCCTGCTGAAGCTACTGGGCTCCTCCTACGACCCCTTCTGGATGTCCCTGGAAGACCCACGAGGCCGCAACACCAGCCTGGAGGAGCTGGGCACCCTTAGCCAGGAGGTGGCCGATGGTACCAGCCGCTACCGGAGAAAGTTGCTGCGGGCAGCAGAGGATTTGGAGTTCCCCCTTCTGCCGGTCTCAGAGGAGGGGCTGCCAGGCAACCTGAGCCAAACCATCACCCACCACCTCCGCCAGTGGCTGGGGGGGAGGGGCCCCCCCCTCCGCCAGTGGCTGGTGGACAGTGCCACTTGTCACCTGACCTCATCCTGGGTGGACCTGGGGCCTGTCTTCTGGCCACGGTGGGTGCGCCGCACGGAGTGCGATGCCTCCCATACTCGCTGCTCCTGGCCACCAGGCATGACCTGCCACCCTGCCCAGTTCACCCACATCAAGCTTCTGGTCTGGCATTGCTGGGCGAGCAGGGACCCAGGCATGAGCACATCCAGAGTTACGCAGCAGTGCACCTGGAGACAGATCCCTTACCCGGTGGTAGCTGCATGCAAGTGCTCCTGTCGATAGCCGAGGCAGGAGGAAGAGGAGGAGGGCACTCCTTCCTCCTTGGAAGCTCGGCTCATGGGTGCGTTGCTGCCTCTGGGCTCCTTGAAGGGCTTGCTGCCATGTATCACTCACTGGAAATAGCCTGTGCAGCTGGCTGGAGAGGCTGATCCCACCATGCAGAAACAACAAACAGAAGTTTTCATGGACCAGCAAGATGCTGAGAGTGATACCCCTGAGACCCTGCTGAAAGCCAGCACCCTCTGCAAGAAGGTTGAGAAGGTGGAATGTGGGTGGATCATCAGGACTTGATTGTCGGGGGAGCTGGGACTTGGAAAGCCCTGCCGCGGCCAAGGGAACGAAGCCGAGACCGGAAGGAGGTGGGAGTCAGAGGCGCCACCCTTTCTCCTGTGTTTCCACCCATTATGGCTAAGTAGGATCTAGAGGTGAAGTAGATAGGTGCGCTGGGCTTTGCAGGGTCTAGGGAAATGGCAGGGATCACTGTCATTGTCCAGGAGCCCTGCTGCTTGCATGGGGAAATAAAACTACAACAGGTGAATGTGGGGGTGTCTGTGGTGATCATTAGTTACCTGGAGCCCAAATGCTGTGTCTGCTGTGAGAAACCAGCTGGGTTATTAGTCTGTGTGGCATAGGGGGCCGTGCCTTTGCCCATTGACTGGCATATCATGGGTGCAAGCCCCCACTTCTGCCTACTGGCTTGTCCCCAGTACACACATGGCAAGGCCAGTGCAGTGGGGAGTGGGTGCTGTGCTGTGCTCTCCTGTCCAGCCAAGCTCCCTGGTTCTGTTGGCTCCTCCTGTGGACAGGGAAGGGCAGCAGCCTGGTGAGAGGAGATGGTTTCTTTTTACCCAGCGGGGCTGATCCGTAGCTCACTGAACTCACAGGATCTTTTCCATTGATTTTGGTGGGCACTGGGCTGGGGTCTCTTTCAGGTGATACCCCACATGGTGAGATGCCAGGGAGGTAACTTTTCCTTTGTTTCCAGAACAGTTTCCACTGTTTTCCATAGCGGTGCCAAGGAGAGAGGGGAAGGCCCCAGTCTTGGAGGCCACAATGCGTTGTTTACCCAGGGAGTCCTTGTGTGAGCCTGTTGTTCCCACTGGTTTATCTGCTGTGAAGGACTTGGGATGGGGGTCGGCTCAGTATCCTGACACAGCCCAAACAAACCAATTCAGTGCAGCCCTGTGCCTGGGCCTGCCACAGCATCAAACCCTGCGGTTCCTCCTGCCTCTCTTGTGTGAACCCTCGAGTGCAGGGTTGGTCTGCTCTCCATGGGCAGAGTGGGATCAGTGGGATACGAGAGAGCCAGGCACAGCTCTTGTCGTGGCGAAGATAGTGCCCTGAGCTCAAGAGGCAGGAGCATCAAACCCATACTGAATGAGGTACAGGTGTCTGTCTGTCTGTCTCCGCTCTCAGGAACCCCAGCACTGGAAGAGCAGAGGGTGCTGAGAGAGACTGGCAGAGCTGTGCATGCTGGAAATAGAGGCAGAGCTGTAGGTTAGGATTGACATGCACTGGTGCAGCAATGGGCTTGAGAGGAACTGATTGGGCTGTATCAGCAGAGGGAGAATTTAGGTGCTTTGGAGAGGCCATGGGGGAACCAGGACTGGAGCAGCGTGCTGCATGCGTGTGTGCATGATGTCGGGACTTGTGCAGGTTCTGCTTCAGGGCTGAGGTGCACAGGGGATTTATGGCATGAGGTAGGACTGGAGTGGTGGAATGGGCTGCAGTGCAGGACAGAAGTGCATGGGCTGAGCTGTGGGGAAGTCTTGGAGCACAGCACGGGAGGGGTATGTCATGCCACACAGAAGTGCCTCAGTAGAGCCGGGACTAGACTAGCAGGGTACATTGGCCTAGGCCCAGGTATTCTCCTGAGCTGTCCAATTTCTAGTCCTGCAGGGTGGAGGCTGCAGGAAAACTGCATTGCCTGCAGCCATGTGATACATCCCCAGCAAACTGGGGGTTTGCTGCAAATGCAACATAAACATGAATCCTGCAATCAGTAGTGACTGCATTATTCATGGGCCTTATTTCAAGCTGACCTCAATGTGCCCAGACCTCCCCATTGGCTGTAGGCCTGGGTCTCAAACTGTCAGCTGCAATCAGGGAGGCAGCGGAGGGAGACAGAGGGTAGCAGACAGAAGGCAAGGCAGAGCAAGGCCTTAGCAGCAGGGGTGGGGAGTGATGGTGTGGGCAGCCAGGAGAGAGGTCAGAACCCTCTTCCCTGGCAGCTGAGCAGCAGGGAGTTTTGAGGTGAAGCATATGGGATCGGTTGGGAAGGGGTTTGGCAGCTGGAGAGGAGGCACAGGGGTCTTGTTACTAAGGGAGTTTGCCCAATGGCACTGTTGGCAGCCAGCAGGCACTGCCTCTGTCCTTCCCAGGAGTCCCACCTCAGGGCTTTCTTCCTCTTTTCACCTTCTGTTCCTCATCTCCCATGCAGCCAGCAGCACTGGCCTCAACCCCTGCCTCTGCCTGGGCAGTACTGCAAAGGGGCTGAATCAGCACAGCAGAGCTGTGTGCCTGGTCGAGGGTTGTCCTGGGCTGGAATAGCTAGGGAGGAGAACTGCAAATCAAGGACAAACCTGTGGAGAAGAACCAGTGACTAAAGGTGAAGAGGAGTGCATCAAAGGCAAAGGCTAGGAGACTTTCTCACCCGAGGCTCTGAGACCTGATCGCTTTCTCCTAGCTCTTCTAGCAGAGACAAACTGGGCCAGTGCTGCCTATCTATCCCTGGCACTTGTATACCAGTGAGGCACTTTGGCAAATTCATTCAACTGCCTTTCAAACCCCACCCATTGACAAAAAACTGCCTGGAGAAACTTCCCAGCTCTCTGTCTCCCACGCTGCCTCAATCCTGTGTGAGGCAGGGTGTCTGGAGCGCACAGTGCCTGCCCTCAGCTCAGTCTGTGACTCCATTTGCTGTAGGGGACAATTCTAGGTGAGGGTGCTATTCTTGCAAGCAGAGTAGGCCAGGGCTTCATTATTGCAGAACCTGCCCTTCACTCATTAAGAGAGACAGTAACACCTGGTGCCCAGGGATGCAGAGGAAGAGCCAGCTAATATCTGAGCTGTCCCACCATGCAGAATCAGTTCCTGGTACAGCATGCATACATGCACGCGCGCACACACACACACACACACACACGTGCACGCATGCACACACACAGGCAGGTTTCTCATGAACAGAGACAATGCAAAAAAAAAAAAAAAAAGTCCTTCCCCCTCTTGCTTCCCCGCAGTTGCATCTAGGATTTACTGAAACATCAGTGGCTCGAAAAGGGGCACAGAGCCCAAAGGCCCAGGCTCACTATGGCTGTATACATATGAATGTAACAGATCAATATGATGGGGGTCTGTCATCAGTTGAAACCATCTCCTCAGCCCCCAGAGATACATCCACCCTCATCCTAGCTTGGACACTCCTCGCTGCTCAGCCATCCTCTATGGATATGAACACACATGTATAGAACTGGTGCCCTCTACTGGCTGGCCATCCTAACCTGAAGGCTCTCTCCTTAGTCCTGTGGTTCTCAACCTTTTTCTACTCAAGGCACCCCTTGGGAAATACTAGCTCAACTTTCACTCATTTTTTGGCCACAGAAAAATCCTAGAGCAATCCTTCTGTTGCAAAGAACTCAAAAAGCCCACAGCAGGGCAGAATGTGTTGGACACTGTAGATCCTCTTTGAAAGCTCTGGGTTTGTCTTAGGAATCACGTTTATACTCTTAACAGTGCTAATAATGCAAGGCAGCCTGCAACACCCTTAAAAGGATCTCAAGGCTCCTTCAGGGTGTCATGTCATCCCAGCTGAGAATCACAGCTTTAGTCCAACTTATTTTACTGAGACCTTGCTTTGACTTGTTGAAGGCACAAGGTACAAGGCTGTTTTAATTCCTGAGCATTTGGTCTCCCTCCTAGAGCAGGTGAATGGGAAACATTGCTGCAAGACAGGCAGGCTGCAGAAGGTTGTACAATGTGGCACAGGCATTCATGTGGAAGTTTTTGGCATATACCACACAGGTCTGACACCAATAACACTGGCGTAGAATAACATGACTCCCTCCCTGTGTTGGCTCCACAATCAGTCTGAGAGAGAGGGGCCTTCAAGGAGCCTGGAGAGCAATGATGCTCCAGCCAGATGCCTATCCTCCTTCCCAAGCCAACACAGAGAAGGGCTGGGGATTCTGGTGTTGAGCAGTCACTCCAGCTCCACATGACACAGGAAACCCTCCACACTTTGGGGAGTAGGGGGTGGAAATTACTGACCAGCCAGACCTGCTGGTGTAAGAGCCCTTTTGTGTTGCTGGAGGCACTTAACAGGGGGCCACAAAAGCGAGAACCAAGTCCTTTACAAATATGGTGATTGCCACCTGCAAGCTCTACCTTTCCTGTGGCAGGGAGCTGCAAGAAGCTAAGGGCATTTTGTCTCCTGTTCCAGACTGTCTCCAGGGGGAGTTCCAGCAACTATTGCCTTTACGCTCCGCAGTAGGGAGGCAGGAAAGGAGAACCCGCAGGCACTGCACTGAAGGGCAAGAAGGAGAGGTCTGTCCTGGGCCTGATGCAATTTGGCCAACCCTTTAATGTGCATTAGAACTTGAAGAACCCAAAGAAAGGAAACTCCATTAAGCCATCGCTTGTGTACTCTGTGGTGGCAAAGGCCTCCCAGAGGCCAGGGTCTCTTTCTTGTCATTATTTTGATCTCTTCCAGTGGTGATGGATTCTTTCCCAATGCAGGCACTGCCTTGGCCATGGGCCAGAAGGGCAGGGTGGTGGTAGGCGGGAGCTGGCAGTTCAAGGCAGTGCTCTGTGTTTGTGCCCCACCTCAGTAAAGGCATCCACACAGCGGTCGATGTCGTCTTCACTGTGGACAGCTGAGATCTGCACTCGAATGCGTGCCTTCCCTTTGGGGACCACGGGGAAGCTGAAGCCAATGACATAAATGCCTGGGGATAGGAAACATGTGAAGAGCCAGGCTGAAAATTGCTTGGGATGAACAGGGTAGGAGTGTGGGGGGTAGGGGAGTCACAGAGATTTTAGCTCCATCTTCCTCCCTCCCCACAACCTACACATTGCAGACTCATCCCACAGCAGCAAAGACATCTGTGTGAGATTGCTCCCCTCACAGTCCCAGAGCAGTGCAATGGTAGGGGGAACGTGGTGGGGGGCATCTTTGGCAACACTCCATAGCAAGGCAGAGTGCAGTTAGGTTAGAGAGGGGCAGAGAAACGACTGGGGCTGGGGAGGGAAGCTGCCCATTGCTGAAGTCACTGAGGAAATACTGAGGACTGCCCATGGTTAGCAGATATGGAGGGAAGAAAGGATCAGTCGCCACTCAGTGCCTGCCAGCCCCACTGGGCTCACCTCTCTCTAGCATGTCGTCGGCCATCACTGAAGCGAGCCGCGCATCTCCCAGCATGACGGGGCAGATGGGATGATCTTGCCCTGAGATGGTGAATCCAGCTGCAGTCATCTTGCTACGGAATCTGTTGCGGTGGGGGAGAGGGGGGGGAAGGGACAACACATCATCCCTGCTCTTGGGGCCCCTTTCCCACCACTTATTGCACCCCATCGCTGCAGCAACCAGGTGGTGCAGGCTGGACCTGGTTCTTCCACGTCCAAGATCAAAGCCCATCCCCCACCCTTCACTCCAGTGTGTGTGTGGAAGGGAGGATTCCCAAGAGATCGCATCCCATCCTCTGCCCACCTCAAGCACTCTGGCCAGGGTCTCCCTGCCACTTGAGCAATTATGGCACCTGGAACATCCAGACCAAGCTGTAGCATTTGTATAGACATGGCCACTCTGGAGTGCTAAGCAACATCGCCCATTTGTGACATCTGAGCCATCTCCAGGGACCCCAGCTGTGATGTGATAGGCAAAGGCAGGGCAACAGCCAGGGGCTTCCCTATTTAAAACAGGCTTCCTGGGCAAGGGGGCGAGATGGGGACGCTAGGAAGACGTACAGAAAAGGAGCTTGGCTGGGTCTTCTGTGAGAAAAGAGTCTTAACCCCATCCCTCACCGTTTGGTCTTGGCTGCCATAGACTGTGCAATAGCATTGCTCTCCATAAGCAGGTCCAAAGCCTTGGAGGCACAACCCACAACAGCAGGAGGCAGGCTGTTGGAGAAAAGGTATGGGCGGGAACGCTGGCGGAGCAGGTCGATAAGGGCTTTGGGGCCAGTGGTGTACCCACCTGAGGAGGGAAGAGAGAGGAAAACAGATGGTCACTAGGAGCATGGGAGGGAATACTCATGCAGGACCCATGGGGAAGGCCATCCCATTAACACAGAGGGATTGGAAAACACCAAGATCCAGCAGTTATCTTGGTTTAGAGGGAGGGGGCAAACTGGTAGGGATTATGGTAGCTCTTGACTACAGAGCCATGTCTAAGCAGAAGACTCTGGAAAGGGGAACATCTGCACCTGCTGCTCCTCCAAGCGCCTTGCCCAGTGTTGAGTTGACGATGGTGACTTGGTCCATCACGCCCAGGAGCTCGTCAGTACCCCTGCAATGAGAGACCGCCACCCTGTCAGAGCTTGCTCAGTGCTAGATGTTTCTGTAAAGGCAGCTGTAGCTCAGTACCAACATGGTGCACCTTCTTCTTCCCAACAAGCTGCAGGTGCTACTCCCCAGATCCAGTGAAGAAGGAATGCACCCAGTGCCAGTTTCACCTCTTGGACACGGCCATCCAGTCACATCTGCATGGAAAGCTTCATGCTGGAAACAATGGTACTTCAAGAAGTGATGCTGGCAGTGAGTGCAGGTCATGGCAGTCTGATGCACAAGACCACAGGAGCAGAGGATAGTGCCCAGGCCAGGGTCAGTCTAAAGCAGCAGGGAACATGCCAGCAGAGGGCAACCAGCTAGCCTTAAAGGTCTGAAAACAAACCTCCCCTCTTCAAGTGGAGGAAGGCCAACAAAAAGCTGCTCTGGAGAAAGGAATTACTAAACCCCTCCACCCACAGGAAGGTGCTTCCACTTGATAAACCAGAGCAGAGTCATGGGACCTTCTACAACACTGCTAACAAGAGTCTCCACTCAACTACCCTGGGCCAACACATGCCTCAGAGGAAGCATGTATGTGCACAGCCACTTGGAAGAAGAGGGGGCCACCACCACTGCATAGAAAGTGAGTGTCAGATATGAGGTGGGGCTCCTTTCAAAGACTGGTGACTCCAAGCACCCTCCCTCAAAAGAGAGCATTGTTTAAATCTGTACATGATGTGGATTTGGAAGTTGAGATGTGGGGCTGAGGAAGGAGTAATTTCTTACCGTCCATTGGGCCCCAGGAAGCCAGTAGCATGGCATTCGTCAATGAAGACAAGGGCCTGATATTTCTGGGCCAGCTGGCAGATCTCTTTCAAGGGGGCAATGTCACCATCCATAGAAAAGGCACCATCAGTGGCTATGAGTCGCAGGCGATGTTTCTAGGGAAGAGTGTGGCAGGTTGCAAGAGATTGTGGATAAAGACACACCCTGAGCAGTTGGGTTTGGAGAGAGGAGGAGGATGGAAGTACCAACAAGGGATAATCCTCAGCCTGCTTCTCACTGAAAATAGGTATTTCTCCTTCCCCTCCAACTATTTTCTCTCCATCGTGCCTTTGAACTCATATTCTGACCAGCCACGCACAGGATTCTCCCCAGAGGCTGGCAGTGCTGCTTCAAGTGCTGGCCAGGAGGTAAAGGCCAGGTCATCTTCAGGGAGAGGTGTCTATTGCTCCTAACCTGTCCCAAGTCACAGCCTGACTGCACTCCCAGCATAGCACATCTCCGTACCTGTGCATCCTGCAGCTTGGCCTCCAGGTCCTGCATGTCCATGTGTTTGTAGCGGTATTTATTGGCCTTACACAGTCGGATCCCATCAATGATGGAGGCATGATTCAGCTCATCTGAGAGCACAGCATCTTCTGGGGTCAGCAGTGCCTGTGGATGCCAAAACAAGGGGGTTGGGGTGGACAACACTGGAAACACTAACAGCCATGCGGGTAGGTGTCACCACACCAGATGATTCTGCCTCTCACCACCCAATCAAAAGAAGTCTCTGCATCCTGGACTGCATCCAGTCTCTGCTGATAGCCACAAGTCAGGGCACTGGGCCTCTCCTTATCTCACTTCCACACTGAGGTTTCTATTTCCTCTCCCTGGCCTCCCTCTCACCCTGTATTTGTGGTGTTGTCATTCCTATCAGTGGCCCTGCTGTCCATTCATTCCACAAACTATGTCTCTACCCCACCAGGATGTGCTGACCTCTTCCATCAGGGCCAGGCTCAAGCTGAACCCCATTTCCCTGACCCCATCCTCTTGAGGGTTCTCACTGTCATTGTGCTCCCATGACAGGCTGCCTAGCCCCACCTACAGGCCTTGGCAAGCCCCCCACACACTATGCATGAGCCTTCTCCTTTCCTTTGCAGGCCTTGCCTGTGTTACAAAGTTCTACCAACAAGAGTTTCTGCCATGTGGGGAGCTGACCTGGCCCTGAGACAGAAAAAACTCCTTCTGCCAGCAGAATTGATTCCACAGCAGAGGGCTCAGCCGCTATAGTTAGACCTGTAGTCCTGAGGAACCATATCCATTCTGAATTCTCACAAAACAAGGGGATCACTAGAGCTTCAGGTAGGGGCTGGCAGAAAGTGGCTGAGGATGGTTGGTCCCACTGGAGGTACAGCTCAGCAGGTTCCACCGAAGAGGCCCACACAAAAGCAAGGGCTAGTTGTGAGGACAACCCCATTTGGAAGGGGGATATGAAAGCTGACCAGACAGCTCCATGGCAGCTACTTGCCTTCTGCATCTGAGAGTGCCACCTGTGACGCACTCAGCCTCAACCTCCACTGGCACACAGAGCCCTGGGCCCCCTATCTTTTACCTCATCCCTCTCCTCCCTTTCAATCAGGCTTGAGGTGAAGCAGCCGCTTTGGAAGGGTGACTTTTCAATTACATGGCCCTTCCCACCCCCTCATTCCCCAATACACAAAGCACAATTCAAGGACTATGAACCTCAAAGATACCAGCGTTGGCATCGAAGCAGCTGGCATAAAGGATGGCATCCTCTCTCTGGTGGAAATGGGAGATCTTCTCCTCCAGGCTCTTGTGTATACTCTAGAGAAGACAGACCAGAGAGCCAGAGGCTCGTAATATCACTCATGGTACAGTGACAGTTTCTGCTTTCCAGCATTTACAGTCTGTATGGATTGGGTATTCTTTTCCCCAGAAGTAAAAGAAAGAAATATCTTCCCTTTCCCTTTCCCCATTCCCCTAAACCCCCAAATCACCCATGTTAACAATTCTTTCACTAATGGGACTTAAACACACTTAACATTTTTGCTCCCCCAAACATTCATGACTGTAGCAATGAGACACAAACAAGTAACTTGCTTGGAGTGGCTTTCTGTTTGCCAAGAAGTGCTACACAAAGCAGCCAGAACCCCAGCCCACACACACTGGAATAGCTTCAATAAAGCTACCTCCCATTATGGTGGTTCTGTCCCTTGAAAAGTTTATTTTCTGGGAAAGTGTTGGCTTTTTTTGGTCAATTCAGAATTTCTTTCTAAGTCATTTGGGGGTTTAGTGGCTTTACTCAAAATGGAAAAGCTTGTTTTCAAACCTTTAAATAGCCAATGCGTATAGGAGACATTTCTGCGTGGCCATGTGTGGCAATAAACATATATGGGGTGTCCATGTAGACACATGATATAGACAGGGGAGCACAAAGAACCTCAGAGAAGGTAGATCACATACAGAGACGTGTGGCCAGGAAGAAGTAGTCCATGCTGGGGATGCCTGTAGATTACTACAGGGGACAACAGAGGCAAAACTGAAGGCTTCTTTTCTGTGGCAGCTCTGGGATTGGCGAGCAGTGTGTGTGTGTGGATTAAGGCCCTGGGGAGAGGCAGCTTAGTCATTTATGAGAAAATGGGAACAAGGGCAGTGCAGAGGTAACTATGATGAACTATATGCACATGACTTCATCTGATCTTGGAAGCTAAGCTGTCCTGGGCCTTCCTGCCACTTGGATGAAAGACTACCTCGGAATCCCAAACATCATAAGCAACAGCCAAGAAGTCTTGGTTGAATGCATGGAGAATGCTAGATCAAAAAAGCCGGATGACTAGCAAGACTGAATTGGGTCCCACTGTTAGTGCTAAACTGATAAACAGGAAAGAAAGAAAGGTGGGTTCAGTTTCAGCAAGAAGAGGGCTAGGGGAGATGGATCAGAGGGGAGGAGAAATGGAAAAGAGAAGTAAGAGGAGAGAAAGAGGGACTCCCAGGACAGAAAAGCCAGCCAGGCAGGATTGGTTCCTGGGAAGACCAGCCTAACTATGGAAATGAGCAACAGGTCTTTGCTTTCACCTGGGAGCAGCATTGCTCTGTGGCAGGCATACAAAGGCTGACTATGTTTCAGCCTGAGGGTAAGGCAATGACCATACCTGGCCCAGGTCCCAGGCCTTGCCCATACCTGAGTGCCACAGATGAAACGGACAGAGCTGAGGCCAGCTCCAAACTTCTCTAGGGCCTCATGTCCAGAACGGATCACCTCAGGATGGCTGGATAGGCCCAGGTAGTTATTGGCACAAAAATTCAGGATTCCTGCAAGGAAGAGGTGGACAGGCAGGAGTGAGCAACACATCCCCAGAGACAGCCTGACAATAAAGCAAATCTCAGACAACTCCTCTGCTACATTTACAGTAAGGCCCCCAGGGGTTTATTGCAAGGCAGAAGTACATGAGTCCCATTGCTTCAAACAAAACCATCACCGTAATAGCTTAGGCACATCCCTCAGCTTCTCCCCTCAATGGGGTATAAACACAGTAACTCCAGATCAGACTACTGGTCCAGTTATTGTATCTTGCCCCCAGCAGCAGCCACTGTTTGATAAAGCACAAGAAGTCAACTGAAATACCCTAACAGCAAGCCATGCAGGTATTGTTTTTAACTGAAAGATGTGATAATTGTGCTAAAACAGTGGGTTTGTTTTCTGATGAAAATTTGAAACCTGGTTTCTCCCCTATTGTGTTGGCATAAGGAACCAATCTCAGAAGATAACATGAACAGTTATCACCCCCTCCAGGCCTCAAAAGAAAGTGGGGTCCCATCCACAATGGGTTAGGAATGGATAATCAACATTAATAATTGCCATTCATTAAAGTGCATATTACAGTAATTCTAAGCCGGATTTTCAGCCAGGGGTACGCATACCCCTGGGGGTACTTCTGATGGCCTCAGGGGGTACTCAGCACTTCCCCCCCAGTTGGCTGCTGGGGGACCCCCCGCCACTTGTCTGGCTGCCGGGGGACTCCTGGTTTGTCGACCGGCTGCCAGGGGTACAATGCCTAAAAGGGTTGAAAACCCCTGTTATAAGCCAACCAGGAACAGGTCCTATTATACCAGGTACTGTGTGTTCACACACAGTGTTAAAACTATTTTTGCCTTGAAGAACTTAGGCAATCCATAATTATAGCTGGTCATTGTTGTTAAGGTAAAACCATTTCTTTCTAAACCATCTTCTGTGCTTAGCACGCTAGAGCAAAGGTTTACTGAACTAGAGAACTACCAAACATTGATCTTGATCACACTGACTTGCTGAACTGAGTCCCTTGATGCTGAAAACACTTATGCACATGCTCAGTCTTACTTGAGTAGTCCTTTTGGACTCAATGACACCACCAATATGCTTAGATTAAAGCAAAGCTGCCCAACGGGCAGTCTATGGGCTGCATGCAACCTCTAAGGGGTTCTCACCTGGCTGCAACTCCCTCTGTCACTGGCTGAAAGGGTAGCCAGAGTCCCAGGGCTTCCCCTTCCTCTGGTTTCTGTATTCTGCACTGGCTCCAGGGGATGGTGTAGTGCAGCACAGGACAGAGTGGGATGCTCAGAACGAGGGAGGGGGGGTGTCCATGCAGGCATGTACTGCAGCAAATGGAGGCAGAGGGAAGCATCCCCATGGGGATGTTACACTGGTCAGGGGAGATCTACACAGGCGCATGCTGCAGTGGGGTGTGAGCATGTGGTGCAACAGGAGGGTGGGCATCCATGTGGCATGCAGTGCAGGGACCCGTGTCCCCCACTGGTGCAGCCCCCAGCCATTTAGAGCTTCAACAGCCCTCTATTAAAGTATCAGCATTTGCAAGATCAGGAAACATGATAAAAAACCAGAATAGCAAGACCCACATTTTCAGCATGACTTCCTTAGTTCTCTTTGAAGATCAGTGCTGGCAGGGCCTAGCATAGATTTGGCTGCCTGCACTCCAAAAGCCACTGTATTGGTGGAAAATGAGCTGCAATCCATCAGTGGTTTGAACCATGTCAGGGAGCAAATGGAAATCAGATTCTCAAAGTCAGTTTGTTTATTTTTCTTTTGCATGGTAGTATCACAGTCTACCTATACTACTGCAGATAGATGTTTCTCTGGGAAGGCAAGGTCTGAATATGAAGTCAAAAGCTATCACTAGAAAGGTGTGGGTTAAGTGTTGTTTCTTTTAATATAAATGTAGATAGGCACAGAGTGATATGGTTAAGCAACTCGAGCGAGAAAGTAGCTGGCACACAAGGACATAAAATGTATATTCAAGGGATTAGACATTCTGCGTTTGCTCATTGGATTTGATCCAAAAATACGGTTACTACTCATACTGTACATAAGGTTGGTCTGGTACACTTTTACTGTTCTTTGTTATGTGTAAATACAGCAAACAGCTAGTGGACCCAGAAGTGACTGAGGCTTCATTGTGTTGAACCCTGGAATAAAAATATAGCAAGAGAAAAGGTGGGGGGAAAATAAAGTACAGTACTGTTCTGATAAGCCTATCTTCTTCACAACCATTCCAAAATGCACCTAAAACCTCCCACCTGACTCCACTTATATGCTGGGTCTACCCATAATCAGCCCCTGCCAGCCTTGACTTGTATACCTATATCATTGTGCATGCAACACAGATCCGTATCTTTTTGGTGCAGTTTTTATTTGACTATTTTAGTACATTTAGCTACTGGAGTGCTTCCCTTGGATATTATATTCTCCAGCAAGATTCTGTATGAGTAAGAGCAGTGTAAAGTTTTTAACTGTAGTTATTGGCATGAATTCAGGGAGAAAAGCTATTTTCCCTAAAATTGAACCTGAAAATTCACTTGTATATAGGATCAATTTATAATTTGAACAATATGGTATTATTATTCCCATTTTACAGATGAGATGGTAAGGCATGGTGAAAGTAAGTGACTTGCAGAGGTTTGCACAAGAGCCAGGAACTCATCTTAGTTCCACTCCAGCGCTCAGAAATAATCCTACTGCTTTACACTGTCAGCAAAAATAAACCTCAAAATGAAGGAGCAAATTCCTTTCTAACCTTTACAGTGACTACTTGTTTAAGCATGAGTTGTTTGCCAGATTTTAGATTTTTATCCAATATGACTACAAATGTAGTAGTCTCATAGCAGCCTTGTATTTCCTAAACCATAACTATGATGGTTCAAGAAATATGCAAAAAACAAGATTTGTTTGGCAATACCTTTTACTGGAGCAGGTATGTAGCTGCATCTGCTTCCTTCCCAGGGCTGTGGAAGGACATTTGATGCCCTACAACTTGTCCAACACATCTTTCTACTATATAGTTGGTTCAAAATATTCACACAAATCTTGTTTCTTGATAACTACAAACGTTGTATTGGGCAGAAAATTATTCATCTTTTATAAGGCATCTACAGTACTGGATTTTGAAATTCCATAACAGGGATTCCATGAGCTCTGCTCTGCATGGTAGGAAGTAGTATTTTGAACTAGTTTAAGTTTACTTTGCATTAACATCATCAAGTCCCAACATGCTCCCCTGTTATGGGGCTGTTAAAGGGACAGAAGAATATACATTTTGGCCCAGAATTAGATGTCTTTCTTTCTTAAGCAAACAAAGAACAAATGAGACTGGAGGCCCGTAGAAGTGGTTTTTGTTTTCCTTCAGTAGTAGAAACTTTAAAAAAAATAGAGTACTGGCAACTTTAATCTGGCTGCACTATACTTGTACAGACCCTGAAAGAGAAACTAGATAGAAACAAAACATGAAGTAAACTAGTCTTAATTGAATTGCTTAGACCAGTTGTTCTCAACCTTTTCAGACTCAACCAACCCCTTGGAAAATGCCAGCTCTTAGTTTTCACTTGGCTTTTTTTTACTATAGAAAAATAAGAGCAATTCTTTTGTTGCAAAGAACTCAAAGACCACAACAGGTCAGAATGTTTTTTAACACTGTGGATTCCTATTTGAAATCTCTGGGTTTATCTTGTGAATCACATGTGTGCATTTTACAGTGCTAACATTGTGTGGCACCCCAAGGCATCCTTGATTTCAAGCCACCCCAGGTTTTCAAGGTTGCGAACCACTGGCTTAGACAAAACACTAACCAAAGTGCAAAGAGTCAGTTAAATTAGACCCCCTGGCCTTCTTTGGTTTAGAGTTCTTGAGGTATTGTTTTAACTACTGCAGCAGTTTGAAGTCTTCCTTAACTCTCCCCCCCACCCCCCCCCAATCAAGGGTTAAATGAACTGTGGTTCAGTAATCTCTTCATGTGTGTAAACATTGGTACTGAAACTTATGGGTCATGGGGAAATCTCAAATTCCCTCTTACTGTGAAAACATGGTGGTTTAGAAAGAGGAAGCCTGTTTCCTGAAGAAGCATTGTGAGCTCTGTATTTTCTTCTGAGTTTTTTTTTCAGTATACACAACAACAGCTGTTAGAATCGTAGAACATGAGGGCTGGAAGGGACCTCAGGAGGTCGTCTAGTCCAACCTCCTACTCACAGCAGGACCAGCCCCAACTATCTCAGTCCATCCAGGGCTTTATTGAGCCAGGCCTTAAAAACCTCCAAGGATGGACATTGCACTACCTCTCTAGGTAACCTGTTCCAGTGCTTCACCACCCTTCTAGTGAGAATGTTTTTTCCTAATATCTAACCTAAACTTCCCTTGGTAAAACCATAGAAGCAGGGCTGGAAGGGGCCTCCAGAGCCCATCTAGTCCAGCCCTCTGCCTGTGGCAGGATCATCCCCAGGATCAACTGCACATCCGTGTGGGCAGCTCACTCTTCAGATCTGGCATGCCCAGGGGTGTTTCCCTCTCTCTCTCTCACAGATGTCTACTGGGTCCAGAGACTGGGAGCAAGACTCTTTTGAGCCACGTACATAACTTGGCTCTTATGCGAGATGGATTTCATCCACTACAGGGCTTCAATCCCCTCCCAACCTGCCTGGACCGTATCCTCACACTGATCTGGTTTTGCTGCCCGCCCTGGGCATCTTGCCACTGTGGGAAGCTCCCCGAGCAAAGCCATCTCTGATGCAACAGCCTGCCAGCACGCACCTCCTCGGCTGCCTTCCACGTGGATGTGGGGCCCCTGCGGGGACGTGATGATCCTCTCGCTCTTCCAGGTGCCTGCCCCGCGGATGCTCTCCAGTTCCCCCTCCAGGATGCGGATCATGCGGACCAGGGCGCTGTGCGGCCGGACGGGGCCGCATGGCGCCGGTGCCGGGCAGGCTCTCAGCAGCCGCCAGCACCACATTGCACCGAGCAGATGCAACGCGCCGCTGCGGGGCGGACACTGGTGCCGGAGGTGTGGCCCGCACCAGCCAATCACAGTCGCAAGGCTGCTTGCGGATGTGCCAATTGGAAGCGGCTTTCATTTAAAGGGGCAGAAACAACGCGGTTTAAACCACCCCAGGTTAGGAGAGGGGGCGGTCGGGTGCAGCGGGGCGGAGGCTGCTTGCTGGGCCTGCAGGAGGGGACCAATGCGGCTTGGCAGCCCCGGGGGAGGCCCGGGCAGCGAGCCTGCTGCAGGGCAGGGGCAGGCACAGCAGAGCTGAGCCCTCAGCCACATCTATGGGACTCCCGGGCTAGGGGACACCCCAGGGTGCCACAAGATGCTTTTGAAGGGTGCCGCGCACTATTAGCACCCTTGGGGGCCAGAAAGGCCTGCACGTGACTGGCAAGAGCCAGGTGGACGTGCGCCTTTCTGGGCATTTTGCGGCAGATGAGGCTGAAGTTGGTTGCTTAGTCTCAGTTCTTTATTTCAAAGCGAATCTATACCAGGGGCGGGCAATTATTTCGGGCGGAGGGCCGCTTACCCAGTTTTGGCAGGCCCCGCCCCGCCCCTTGACAGGGGCCCCGCCTCCTGGTCACCACCTTGGGACCAACCCAAGTGTCCCAGGGCCAGCACCAGTGGGCCCAAAGCAGGGCGAGGCTGGCAGGGGTCTGTGGGGCCGGGCTGGGCCAGCAGGGAGGGGAGAGCTGGCCCGGCTCCATAGAGCCCCTGCAAGCCGGGACCCCATGCTCCTGTCACCCTGCTCTGGGCCCCACCGACACTGACCCCAGGGCACCGGTGCGGGCCCCGTGCTCCCGCTGGCTCCCCGCCCACTTACTCCCAGTGCCCCCCTGCCCCGCGGGCCAGGCAGGGGGCAGCGCACAGCCCGACCCCCTGCTTGCCGGCAGGAAAGAAG